AAAACTTCATCCTAGTAACTTCTTAAGAAAGGAAAAAGTTGTATCAATGGTATTATGTATTGTGTAGTTATTTTATTATGAAGTTGCTTTTTAGCCCAATCTTTAAATATTTGTGAATCTTAAAGTATACTTAAGACTACATCTCAAAAGGATTTGATGTTGATGAGAATGAACCTTTAGAGATCATTTTCTTCCCTTTTGAAAATTGGCCAGTGCTTGTTTTTTTAATTTAATTTTTTATACTGTTAGGAAATTTTGTCAGTTGTATGTTTTGTAGCAATTAATGGTAAAATTGTAATATTAAATGTTGATTCAAGATATCTCTATGAAATAAAAGTACGTTAATAAATTTACTAAGGAAAGCCTTGTAAGCCTATAGGAACTTTGAAGTTTATCTTTGCATCTAGAAATCATTTAACATACTTTGAGCCACTGTTATATTATTATTTTGAGATGTTGAAGAAATCATCTCAATTCTGTGCCATTGACTGGACTCGTGTCTATGGTTGGGGCCCCTTTGAACACAGAACAGCTCTGTGCAAGTTATCTCTAGAGACACTGTTGGTCAGTGTGTAGAAGGGTGTCAGATCAGAATGTTAGAGTTGAGTTGCCCTCTTCTTTTCTCTCTTTTCAATGATTACCTAAAGATTTTAGTATTGCTGCTTTGAAAAACTCACCCTTGTCTTTTCTATTTAGTTATTTCTCTATAAACTTGTACACGTATTCTTGGACCTTGCCGACTGGATAGTTTTCTTTGCCTCTGGAAGAGTAGTATTCACCTTTTCCTTCTCTAGTTGCCTCAGTCAGCCTGGTCCTGTCAGTAGACTCTTATTACAGGCAGAAGACAGTCAGTTCAAGAATAGGAAGGGAGGATATGATTCTCACAGCAACTTTCCAGAAAAGACAAAGGTGCCCCTTTCTGCGAATCACTGTGAGCCTGGCCTTTCTGTAGGATTTGTCGACAGCCTTTTTGGTCCATCACTCTGCTAAACAGAAGCACTTTGGTTTTATTAATTCTTCATATTTTTAGATGGGACAGCAATGTTTGTAGTCATTTGAAAACAGACATGACTTCAGAATCAGTCACAGGAAGTCTTCTGACTTATTTTTTAAAATAGGAGCTTTTCAAGCCTTTAAATAAGGATTGCCTAGAGGTTGTGTTCTTTTTCCTTGTAATACTTTGCACTGTTTCTTTGCTGGGTCATTCTAATGCTTGATAGAAATTTTTGAGACTCACAAATAGACTAGTGGATGAAGGATGCCTACAGGGAGCATTAACAGTCATGAACGTTATGAAGATGTAAAAAGGGAGAAGAAAATTAGGGTGAGATGCAGTGATCTAGGATAAAATGCCATTTTCAAGTATCTGAAGTACCAACAGGAGGTTGTTCTTGCCACAACATTTTAGTACCTTTTCACAGAACTTTTGGCCCTTGGAACATTTCTGTTGGTTAATCTGTTGGCTTCCAGAGTCTTCTTACATCTTGCTTTAGTTGAGTTGGTAAACTGATAGAACACTTTCAGCAAAAGTTACCATTCTTTTGGTTTAGGGAATTTTTTTTGCAATTCCCCTTTTTAATGTATTATACAGGCCTTATTTTAAAAATGCATCATAGTATCACTCTTGTCTTTTATTCACCATTCCATGTTTCCAGCTATGACTACCACATTCCTAGATTTTTATTTGTACTTTGTTTTATTTTTCTCTTCAGTTTTCCTCAGGACATGATTTTTATTTCTATTCAGTTTTGGGAAATAGTTAAAGGAATGAACTATTAGTATCTTGAAAAATAAGAGTGAAGAAACAAAAAGTTTGTCTATAGAAACATTTCTTTTAAGTGCTTTTTGTATTTTATATACTTGCTTAAAGTGACTGAGCATTACAAAATTAATGAAGAAAAAGTTAGTATTAAATAGCTACAAGAGAAAGTAGATTTTGAGAATTCTTTGAGAAACGGTTCTACTTTGCTGTTTTGGTACTTTTCAAATCCATATCTTTTAAGAGAATGTGAGCTGGGTGGAGCCAATGGGATACTATTAAGAGTGTTCTGAAGTTCACAGTGCTTAGACTGGCTGCTTTGTGGTTTTCACCTGCTGTTCCTAAGTAGTAGCAGTGCTAGTGTTAGATATTGCTTGCTTAGTGGTTCCTGCTAACGCCCCAGAAGCTCAGTTCTTGCAGGCTGAAAGTTAAGGTCACATTGACTTACAGTCACTTGAGTGTTAACAGTTTCTGTCAGTGTATTCTTCAATATACTTACCTTTTTTCTCATTTCAGAATTAATGTCTTATGTTCTGCTTATTCATTATTATTTTTTTTTTCTAGGACCCAGGACCACCCCCACCTTCTCCATTGCTAGGTTTGAAGCCATTGCAGCTGTTAGAAGTGAAAGCAAGGGGAAGATTTGGTTGTGTCTGGAAAGCCCAGTTGCTCAATGAATATGTGGCTGTCAAAATATTTCCAATACAGGTATGTTTATTAAAGTTGTCTGATCTGTCTACCGATATCTTTTTAAAGCTGTAACTGGCTAGAACATTATAGCTCATACACAGACTGTATATTCTAAGGTGACTGTGATAGTGGGGAAGCAGTCTGGCCTTTCTGTGCTGCAGTCACATCTAAGAACGGAATGGTTTAGTGCAGCACTTGGGGTTGTCGGCAGTGGAGGACTCACAATAAAGGAACATAGAGCCAGTCTTTTGTTAATAAAAACTAAAGACGTATTCCAATCACAAAAACCACCTCACCGTCTGAGTAGTTGTCTTGCTATCCCCCTGACAAGAAAGAACAACAGATTGTGTGCTTTGTTTTAGAATTGCTGTTTGGAGCTACATGACCAGACTTTGATTTCTTTTCATTGTACTTTGAGTGTTTCTGTGTAATTATTTCAGTTTGTGTTGGTAACTTCTCAGAGGCAGTGATTCAGGTTTCCATAGGATTGATTTCCTTGTTTTCCTTGAAACGCAGCTGAACTTCTTATGAACCCTGACCTAAGGCAGGCTGCACTGCCGCTTTGCTCCCTTGCTGGTTGATATTAGGGCTTCCATCTTTCCCTTTCTTTGGTAATACATCCCCATGGCTGGTGGCACCCTTGGTATTGAAGTCTTGGATACACATACTCAACCTCCATCACTCCAAAGTTACTAGAGAAACAGTTTACTTAATGTACCTTCTCACCTCATCTAAAGCCTAGCCCCTAGAGTCTTTCTTTATCTTGGCAGCGGTGTGGCTCTAGAAAGAGAAGCATTCTGTTGGGCTAAGATTTGTAGTAAGCTGTGGGAAGCTACTTAAGATGTAAGGAATCTTAACAGTTAGAAAATAATATGGATATTAAGAGTAGAAACAACAGTAGCAGCCATTTTATTAAATGTTTTTATTGACAAAGTATTGATTTATGTATTGTGTGTTCATATATCATACATGAATATACATTCAGTAAGTACTTTAGTGACCAAGAGCACAGTTATTCCTTTACTTCACTGGAAAAGTGATTTTATAAAAATCAGAGGAAAACCTGGAATTTAAATTAATCTTGAATCCAGAGATTTCCTTACCATTACATTATAGTGTAACTCACTTTCATTGCCCTCTCATAGTAAAAAGAAAGTAATCTTTTGTAAGTATACAGTAGACATAGATAACCTGCAGGAATGAGTAATTGATAGTCTAAAAGAAACAGTAGGTATTGTTAGCTTGGGATGGGGGTAAGGGTGGGGCAGACTGAAGAGAGACTGTCACCTATTTAAGGTGGTCACTCTACTGAAATTGATCTTTCAGGGAGATGGTTGTGAATAGTAGCATGCATACTACTATCGTATACTAGTTTCGCACCATACAGTGATTGTAGTAACTTTGAAGCAGGACGTGTTTCTTTTTAAGTTACAGAAATGCAGTGGCTTTTGATGAATACCTGTGTTTGTAAACTTAGCAACACAGAAAAGGAGATTTTGAAGGAATGGGGTGGGATTCTCTAAATAACAAAGATTTATTATGGATTATTGTTATTACCTCTTACAGATTTCTTTTATAAAAAATAACAAAAGGTCACTTGTATTTAGCTTATTTTGTTGATATATCAATTAGACTTAGCTTATTTTGTTATTGTTTTAGAACTTGTTCCAGTAATCTCAACATGATTTATTTTCTTGTACTTTCTGAGTTCTTACCACGCTTTCATCATCATCATCATTATTATTATTTCCTGTAGGACAAACAATCCTGGCAGAATGAATATGAAGTCTATAGTTTACCTGGAATGAAGCATGAGAATATACTACAGTTCATTGGTGCAGAAAAACGAGGCACCAGCGTTGATGTGGACTTGTGGCTAATCACAGCATTTCATGAAAAGGTGAAAAACGACTTAATACTTAAGTTTTGTAAAGCTGGACTTGGCCTTCCAACCTAATGTTAATTGTTGTATTTCAAGAGAACAGTATATTATCACAGTTGATTAATATTTGATCCATATATACATTACTCGTGAATGAAAGTATCACAAAACTAAGGAAAGAACTTTGTAACTAACCCACTAATCATAGAGCAGCCCTAAGCCTTGATTTCCTGTGCTGCAATTGCTTCTCTTAGGGGGACTTTAGACAGCGTTTGTTGTTTTCCATGTATTACTTAGGATACAGTTTGACTCCATGAGCCCTTCTTTTTTTTCTCTTCATTTTTTGCCTGATAATTCTTTAATGATGAACCCACAGTCACTAGCTTGGAATTAGTGCCAAAGCACATGTACTTTCCCCTCATTTTTCATTAAATTTTTTTTTTTTTTTTTTTTTTTTTTTTTAAAGAAAATTCTACTGTGTAGCACAGGCTAGCCTCATCTTTTTGCCTCAGCAGCCTCCCAAGTTCTGGGATTATGGGCTTGCATTACTATGGTCAGCTAAGATACTTGGTTTGTATAATGAATGTCATTCTTGTTAAGTGTAACTGGCTTTATATTTCACTTAGTATTTGACCATAAGGATCATAATAGCTTTAGAGAAGATTTTGATTTTGTAGTCTGTTTTTTTTTTTTTTTAAACTTTCTAAAGTTAGGGAAATTAACTTATTTTGGTAATTAGCTTTTAAAAATCAGTCTTTTGGGGTTGAATGTTCAGTAATGTGAATTGGAAGGAAACTCTATAGTGCTTGATTGATTATGTACTGAAAGGAATGCATTGCCTCCATATCCAAAGCAAAGTTTCCATCTGTGTAAAACTTGCATCAAGAACTTACGGGTGTCTCGCTCTTTTCTTTAGGGTTCACTGTCAGACTTCCTCAAGGCTAATGTGGTCTCTTGGAATGAACTCTGTCATATCGCAGAAACCATGGCTAGAGGATTGGCATATTTACATGAGGATATACCTGGCTTAAAAGACGGTCACAAGCCTGCAATATCTCACAGGTACAGCCAGAGTTGTCCTGTCTTTCTGTTCAACTCACATGCTTATTATTTAAGCCTACTTCTGGGTGAAATTTATTTTTGCCTTGATTATTCAGTCATATTTGAAAATGTAAAGATTTTCATTTTTTAAAATTAGGTTTGAGATTTGACTAGGATGTATTTTGGGTAATGTACATATTAATCTCATTAGTAAAGTTTAATGATGTCATGTTTTAATTTGTCTAATTTCTGAAACCATGTTTGAGAATAAAGGTGTATTTTCTCTATGTCAAAGGAAAAATGATTTTAACTCAAAAATTTGATTTAAAGGTAATTTTTTAATAGATACTCGATGATGAAATTAAGGATAGACTACATATATTCTTTGTGTTTTGAATGAGTGTGGATTCATTCTTGAGCTAAAGTAGAAGGAAAGGTCATTGTGAGGAGAGAGCTGTCCAGTGAAGAAATATTACATGTCCAGTGAAGACTCCGTTACCAAATCTTGAAAATGAAAAGTGCTTGTTCCTGGAAGATAGATTTAGTTTGCCATTATTGGAAGAACATAGGATTGAGTTGTCACCTTCTATTCTGTTTTAAAAATAGCCATGATCAGAGTGATTTAGCAGAGGGATAGTTGAATGTCGCCAGATTCTGATTTTACGAACCATAAATGACTTCTTCAGAAAGGGATCTGCTTTCTTTCATTTTTCTTCTTGAATTTGCCTTCTATTAATATATTCAAACTAATCCTTCAGACCTCCCCAAAGTTGTTATAGGGACCCTGAAAATGTTTTGATACTGAAACAAGTTGATTTCTGGAGCATTCTCCATCCTCTTGTGGGTCAGTATTATGACTTCTGAATGTAACTGTTGGTCACAGCATGGAGACATGCTTGCGGAGTTGTCTTTAAGATGAACCAGATGAATAAGATGTGTAGAAAGAATATTTTCCTGCATTACAGCTGATAGGCTTTCAAAGTACTGGGCCATGCTCTATGGTAAAAGGCTTCTTTGTGTTTGTATTCCAAGAGGTGCTTCCCTACAATAGAGGCCATGCAGTGCAAGGAGGGCGGCAGTGAAGGGCTGTTCTGAAGTAGAAATCTTCACCAAAGATTTTGACTATTTTCTTGTTGTTCTGAAAAACAAGTTTCTATGGGAGTTTGTAACTGTGAGATCTGAAATGTTCCCATTCCCTTAAAGAAATAGTAATTTTATGATTATGTGGGAGTGACATAGATGATAATGTATTTCTGGAATGGCTGTTGTAAAACTGCTTTATGGAGAGGATTCCTTCTTGCTCCTGTTAAAATGGGCTTGTCACTACATTCATGTGCTTTAGACTAGATTGGGACTCTGCCTAAGCATCTTATCCCTTTCTTTGCCTTTCATAATTTTAAGTAACTTCATTTTTATAGCATATTCTCCTCATGTTCAATAGAAATTTTAAAAATAACTTACTTAAAATACTTTTTTTCTATTTGAAGGGACATCAAAAGTAAGAATGTGTTGTTGAAAAACAATCTGACAGCTTGCATCGCTGACTTTGGGTTGGCATTAAAGTTTGAGGCTGGCAAATCTGCAGGTGACACCCATGGACAGGTAAGAACAACCAGTATAAGATGTGAGTAGGAAATAATAAGCACATCTCTTACTTTAGATCAATACCGACTTGATCTGAAGTTGCTGGGGTTGGTTGAGTCATCTAATGAAGAGTGACATATTTTGAGAGGGCAGCATTTTTACATGGCTGTCCCCTTAGGATTAGGCAAGCATAGAACAACATTTAGCTGGGACAGGGTTGTTTTCTAAAATAATTAGTCACAGAAGAATCCAGTTCTTAATAATTTTATCTTTAGGGAGTTCTTAATTTTAACTCAGTTTTTATTGGTTAATTCGTCACACTAAGAGTGGAGGATAATGGTTCACTTCTCACCACAGTGTACTAGGTTTTCCTTCCCATTTTCTACATAATAATTTTCTTGCTTCTTCCTCTTTATTGATTCATTAACTCTTTAATGAATTTAATGTTTTATCTTTGAATTTTTTTTTCTAGAGTTCAGATCTCCTGGAAAGGCTGAAATGAGGTGTCTAACTTCAGTTATTGTTTGCACAAATAGATATAGCATCCTTTAAGAATGCCAAGGAGAGGAGAATACCCATGCATTTTATTCTCACAAAAATGTGAGGCTAGGAAAGCTGCTACACTTGTATAGAATCACTTTTTTTTTTTTTTTTTTTTTTTTTTTTTACAAGAACAGTTAGTTTAGGGGCAGGAGATGGCCCAGGAATTAAGAGTGCTTCCTGTCTTTGCAGAGGACCAAGTTCATTTCCTGGCTCAGGCTGCTCAGAAATGCCAGTAAGTCCAGTCTGAGGGGACTCAACACCCTTTTCTGGACTCTGTGGGCACCCACAATCACATGTGCATAAAACACCTCCCTGTAGGTGGATTTTTCTTTGGGCCACCAATTTGCAAAAACTGATATGGAGACTTACTATTAATTATTAAAGCATGGCCTTAGCTTAGTTTTGTTCCTAATCTTCTTAGTTCTAATCCTTAGTCTTCTTTCACCTTAAATTAACCCGTATCTTTTAATCTACATTCTTTTACATGGCTCAGTTACCCTTACCTCTGTACAGTCCATCCTGCTTCCTCTCCATTTGGCTGGCGACCCTCCTTTCTTCTTTCCAGAGCTCTGTTCCCAGAAGTTCCGCCTAACCTCTTCCTGCCTAGTTAATGACCATTCAGCTCTTCATTAAGCCAATCATAGCATAGTGACACATCTTCACACAGTGTAAAAGGAATATTTCACAACACGTCTCTGTTAAAAATAAAACAAATATTTGCTTAAAATGTGACATTTCCTACAAAGCCAAAGGATTCTCTCTAGGCTTGCCCGGTTCTCTGTCTTTCAAGTCATTCAAGTTACTTGGTTATTTCTGAGTTTTCATTCTCCTTCCATATCTTGATCCCCAGGAACATAGCTGTGTGCAGTCATGGCACACTACATTCTGTCAATGTTAATTATCAGTTTCAGATTTGGTTCAAGGTTATGTCAGCAGTTGCAGAACATTAGAAAAGCTGACATGATTGAGAATAGAGGCTGTTTTAGGAAGAATATTACTAAAAATGGAGTAAGAAGCCTAGAGACAAATTTCTGTGCTTATTGTATGATTGATAGTCATAGGACAGTATGTATGGGATAGTTTCATCTTTTGGTATTAGAGCAAACTTTATAACTTTTGTTTTGTAATCTATATTTTATGTATGTGTGCTCTGCATTTATACTTGCAAGCCAGAAGAGGGCATCAGATCCTATTATAGATGGTTGTGAGCCACCATGTGGTTGCTGGGAATTGAACTCAGGACGTCTGGAAGAGCACCCAGTGCTTTTAACCACTAAGCCATCTCTCCAGCTGCCTACTTTTTTTTTTTTTTAACCTCATTCATGTCATCTTTTAATGCTCTTACAATTGGATTACAAGATTAGGCAAAATAAGTTATTACCTACATGAGTAAATAGTTTCTCCACTATCGTACCACCTTTCATTCATAAAAGAGGATATCTTAGACTAAAATTAGATAAGCTATAATCCCATAATACAAGAAATAACTTTGGATGGTCTAAATTAAGTGAAAAAGTAGGCTTTGAGAGATATTCGGAATACAGTGTAATGTTTAGAACAGCGAGAGCCAGAGAGCTACTTTATGTTCTGATAAAATCAGTTAAAAATGGAACTTCAAAGCTTCACTGATCTGTCCTTACTTTTTAAAATCTATTGCTAAATGTACATATAACTACCAAAGTCTTGACCAAAGGTTACTTGCCATCCCTTACCGAAGGATGAAAACACCAATGTCTAAGCTGCTTTTTAGATCTGTGTTAAGTGTATTTTAGTCTACCTAAATAGCTCCTAAAATCTCTTAAGCTTTCACATAAAAATGCATTCAAGACCAACTAGCACTAGCTGCCCAAGCATAGTAGCCACAGTTACAGTACTACACAATACCAAACTTTTGGGGGCAAATGTAAATAAAGAAGAATTCTTGAATAAGTAAGATTTTTTACAAGTAGAATTTTAAAAATCTATCTCTGCTAATTATTTTTACATCATCTTAAATGTTTATTAGTGAAGCCCTAAAAAAAAAGTGTTTTCTAAAGGTGTACCTCAAACAATATGCAAAGTGCTCTTTCCTCCATTCTGGCCTTCTCCCAGCAAACCGTTAGTTATTCAGGTCTTTGTGATTCGATCCAGAAGGGAGGACAAGCTCTGTAAGCCTGTCTGGTGAGAGTATCCAGAAGCCATCTTACTTTACCCTGGCTAAATAGACCATATTTGTTTTTTTTTTTTTCTACAAAACCATAAACAAAAATATTAGTTCATAAAGTCAATGAGTACTGATTGCTTTCAAATTCTTTTTCAGGTTGGTACTCGGAGGTATATGGCTCCAGAGGTTTTAGAGGGCGCTATAAACTTCCAAAGGGATGCATTTTTGAGGATAGATATGTACGCCATGGGATTAGTCCTGTGGGAACTGGCTTCTCGATGTACTGCTGCAGATGGTAAGGGAAAACAGCATTTCTTTTTAAAAAGTATATATGCCATATTTATAAAGGGATTACACAAAAAGGTAAATAAGTACATTTTCTTCTATGGACTCCAAAAGGTGGCCGAAGATATAGGAGGCAAGGTGAATTTTGGGGGCTGGGCATGAAAAGAAATGGCTTTGACACTTGGAGGCAGAAGTAGGTCAGACAGCACATACTACAAGAAAATACGTTGCCTAAGAACTTCAGTGTGAGTCTTTCATATCAAACTCTGACTGGGTGTCCTGGGGATGCAGGCCCTATTGTTAAGTAATACACAGTTAAGAGAGGACTCCAGAGGGAGATAAGTGTGAATGATCTGTTCCAGGACCTGGTATGTAAGGCTTTCAGTAACTGTACTGGGGTGCAGTCATACCTGAAAAATGTCAGGTGGTGTTATAGGAATTAAGGAGAGTTACTTGGCGGGGCTTGGGGTTATTTATTGGGGCATTTTTATGGCAAAAGAAAGGTTAGATGTTGATTTTTCTTAAATGCCTTGTATGTGCTCTAAAATACTTAAAAGCAGACTATGTTCACTTTCCCTTTGGCCCTGATTTGCCATGATTTAAAATGATAAAGTGAGTGCTTTAAAATTTGTGTCTAGTTAGTTAAAATCCAGCATTTCTCAAACTTTAGTGTGCATAGCAAACTCTAGGAATCTAGTTAAAAATAAGCCTCTGGAGGGTGGGAAGATGGCTCTGTTATTAAGAGCACTGGTTGCTCTTCCTTCATGGACATCGGTCAATGGCTGTGGTGCACACGTGCAGGCAAAACAACCATCCACATTAAAAAGAAAATACATTAGCCTGGGCTACGTCCTGAGAAGTCTGTGTGTTAATGCCAGTATTGACCTGTGAACCTTGAAATTGAAGATGTCAGTACTAAGTACTAGAAGTGCTAACATAGTCCTTCATCTCTCACAGTGTTCCCACAGGGCTGGGGAAATGGTTTAGTGGGCAGTGCTCATGACCTCATTTTGATCCTGGGTCTTATATGGTGAGAGCCTAGCCTACCCTTCCTTGCAAGTTGTCCTCTGAACTCTCTATGCATGTTGTGGAATATACACACACGTACACACACACACACACACTAAGTGTAGTAATAATAAAAGATGCTTCCTAAAGCACGTGTACAAGGTTGAGTCAGTGCCTCTTTCAGTTCATGGTATTATGTTTGAAGTATTTGGTGTGTGTGTGTGTGTGTGTATTTTTTATTTTATTCATTTATTTATTTATTTTTGGCTTTTCGAGACAAGGTTTCTCCATGTAGTTTTGGTGCCTGTCCTGGATCTCGCTCTGTAGACCAGGCTGGCCTCGAACTCACAGAGATCCACCTGGCTCCGCCTCCTGAGTACTGGGATTAAAGGCATGTGCCACCACTGCCTGGTGAATTTGGTATATTTGAATACTTTGCATAAGGCTCATCTATGTACATCGACTTCTCTCTGGTGAATGATACTGCCAAGTGACCTGTTGTGTTGAGGGGAAAAATATAGATAAAAAGACTTCAGATAAGATTCAGATTTCAGCTCTACTATAGAATAGTCAGATACCTCTGTGCAAAATCTTATTAACTTTCTGAGCTATCTTATTTACAAAATAGAGCACATGCCACCTTCACTTGGAGATAAAATAATAGTAAAAATGTAGGTGTGTCTACTCTGAATAAGAATCTATTGAACATCAGTTATTAACTCCTAAATGCACATTCCTGTCTGAGATCCAAGAACAAGTTGTTTATGTTACTGAATAAATTTTGTCATGAGGGTACATTTTGACATGATAAGAATTCTGGTTGAAGTGAGCTTGTGATTTAAATATAAAAATAAATAGCATTATTTATAAGTATTATAAATATGCTTGTGAGAGAAGACAGAAAATCGCAAAGTGCACTAATTCCTCATGGAAGGTATTTGAACATACCACAGAGAAGTATACTAGGTGAAGCACTGAGTCTCCAGAGGTGCTGACACTATGAATGGTAACGTTCTGATAGAAATTGCTGGAAATGGAAAAGAGGATTATAGCTTTGATTTCTAAATATTGACAATCCTTGTCATATATAAACATGGACATTCAGCATATGTGTTCCAAAACAGCCTGTTGAGGCTGATTGTGAAGATCAAGAATTTGGAGCCAGCCAAAACTATTTAGCTTGACCCTGTCCAAAACAAGCAGCCATCAAAAAACTCCTGAAAACAGACCTTTTGATTTCTCACAGTTAGATTCTGGTTCCCTTGTGATACAAGTTTGGGGGGGTTCATCTCTTTCCTCATAGAGTGCAGAATTGGAGGAGCTTATACTAGTCAGGAAGAATTAAAATGGTTTTCTTCTTCTTACATTTCAGGACCTGTAGATGAATACATGTTACCATTTGAGGAGGAAATTGGCCAGCATCCGTCTCTTGAAGATATGCAGGAAGTTGTTGTGCATAAAAAAAAGAGGCCTGTTTTAAGAGATTATTGGCAGAAACATGCAGTAAGTTTATGCAATTTTCTATTTGAAATTTCAAGAAAACATTTCTTTTTCCAGAGACTAGTGTATCTGTTATGTGCACATTTCTCTTCTGGGACAGTGATCTTCACACAGCAGTTTTGTACTGGAGTTCAAAGGCATAATTAGGGCTTTGTCTAAAGTCACAGAGTCTTGCAGAGAAGGCTCTTCCCTCAGCGGTCTAGTTAAGTTCAAGCAAGTATCTCCTGGTTTGAAAGTTCCATGAGGAAACAAATGCCTGGTCCATGGGAAGCTGGATAGTCTTGCTGATCATTACCTTCTAATGGATGCCATCTTAACACTTATTAAGCACTCAGTTTTCTCTGCTCTATGAAGTCTTACTCATTTCATTCAGGCTTTCAAGACTTGACTTTACAGTTAGAGCAGGCAGAACAGCATAGAATTTTGTTGGTAATTTGGTGTTAATATAACTAGAAACCCAAATGGCAATAAGTAACTACACCCTGAAACCAGAGATTGATTCTTCAAGGGTGACCTTTTAATTTTAACTGCAAGGGAGAAATGCCACTATCAACTAAGAAAATGATAAAATAAATAAATAAATAAATAAATAAATAAAAAAAAATAAAATTGGTACCCACATTAGACTTAGTTGCAAGTCTCCTTGAAAAGGTCAAGCATTGAAATGATCGGATTTATGAATACAAGATTTTTGGAACTTAAAAACATATTCATGTTGTGGATCCCTAATGCTTGGAAAAGTAATTTATTTTGCTGGTATGCAAAATGACTTTCAATAAAAGTGAGTTTTGATCCAGCCACGGTATCTCATGTGCTTGAGGCAGAAGGATCAAGAGTTTGAGGCCAACCATAATGAGTCCATTAAAAAGAGCCAGAGTGGGCTGGAGAGATGGCTCAGTGGTTAAGAGCACTGTCTGCTCTTCCAGAGGTCCTGAGTTCAATTCCCAGCAACTACATGGCGGCTCACAACCATCTATAATGAGATCTGATGCCCTCTTCTGGTGTACAGCAGACTTGCAGAAAGAACAGTTTACATATAAATAAAAATAAATCATTAAAAAAAAAAAAAGAGCCAGAGTGAGTGCTGATCAAACTTGGCTGATCTTGAAGTTATGACCCATGAAAATCACTATTTCTTTATGACAGTGTTAGCCTGTTTCCTATCAGGAGACAATAGCTGTTATGTTTGACTGTTCTTCTCCTTTTAGGGAATGGCAATGCTCTGTGAAACGATAGAAGAATGTTGGGATCACGATGCAGAAGCCAGGTTATCAGCTGGATGTGTAGGTGAAAGAATTACCCAGATGCAAAGACTAACAAATATCATTACTACAGAGGACATTGTAACAGTGGTCACAATGGTGACAAACGTTGACTTTCCTCCCAAAGAATCTAGTCTATGATGGTGGCACCATCTGTACACACTGAGAATTGGGACTCTGAACTGGAGCTGCTAAGCTAAGGAAACTGCTTAGTGTATTTTCTGTGTGAAATGAGTAGGATGCCTCCCGGACATGTACACAAGCGGCCCCTTGTGGAACGCATGGCTCTGGGAGATTTACTGCATCGTCTGCAGCACAGATCCGAAGGGGAGTCGAAGGGAAAAGCTGCAAACTGTCAAGAACTTCTGAAAAATGTACACGAAGAATGTGGCCCTCTCCAAATCAAGGATCTTTTGGACCTGGCTAATCAAGTATTTGAAAACTGACATCAGATTTCTTAATGTCTGTCAGAAGACACTAATTCCTTAAATGAACTACTGCTATTTTTTTTAAATCAAAAACTTTTCATTTCAGATTTTAAAAGGGTAACTTTTTATTGCATTTGCTGTTGTTTCTATAAATGACTATTGTAATGCCAACATGACACAGCTTGTGAATGTGTAGTGTGCTGCTGTTCTGTGTACATAAAGTCATCAAAGTGGGGTACAGTAAAGAGGCTTCCAAGCATTACTTTAACCTCCCTCAACAAGGTATACCTCAGTTCCACGGTTGCTAAATTATAAAATTGAAAACACTAACAAAATTTGAATAAATCAATCCATGTTTTATAACAAGGTATTAACAAATTCACTGTGTTATTTAAGAAAAAATGGTAAGCTATGCTTAGTGCCAATAGTAAGTGGCTATTTGTAAAGCAGTGTTTTAGCTTTTCTTGTACTGGCTTGTAATTTAGGGAAAACAAAGTACTGTTTTTGAAATAGAAAAAAAAATGGTGTCATTTCCCTTCCTTCCCTTCATCTTATATCCAGGTCCCAAAGTATTGCATACTTAAGTAGTACTTTTTTCTTTAAGGTGTGCTGTGTTTGGGAAATATTTGAAAACATAAAGCATGATTTAAAAAATTTTAAGTGAGCTGTGACACTGGAAAGCTCTTCATTTTATCTTTTAAAAATAGATTTTTTTTTCCTATTTATATATGTAAAATTGTGGTGTATTTCTTCTTTTACCAAACAGTGTGTGGGATATTCTTATCACTGTTTTAGGATCACCTCAGGAAGTGTCATTACTCAGAATTCCTCACTCTGCTTTGAGACGTGTAACTATCACTATACTGTGTGGTGCCATCTTGTCAAGTGTAATATTTGATGTCTGTGATGTGAAGAGAATTGTCTTTGGATAGAGATACTGACCTTTAAGCACAGATTTCAGATATTACTGCTTTAAATCAAATCAGGGATAACAAGTTGAACTTATAACTTAAAATATGCAATGACATTTAGAGGTAACCAGTGGTGGTATAAGGAACACAGCCTAGCCTCCCCCAAGTTACTTTACAGCTAACTCTAGATAGTTCATGCCTTATCCTTGCTAAAAGAAAATGGAATTGATGGCAAGTAGGTACCAGAGTGCTTTTCAAACAATGTAACATTAGAATATAATTGGCTTCTTCCTCAAACTTATACAAGCCCAAGTGAAAGATTCCCTGAATTTTAAGATTACCAACAAATAGCCAGTATTATGTTATATACATTTTTGTCGAGTCACTTTAACATCCATACATTAATTTTATAAACTTTTTACATGTTACTATCAGGAGCTCACTGTGAATGCATTATCTTCAGATGGTTAAGACATCATACACTACATTTTACATAAAATGTGCACTAATCTCTGGGAAGACTGAATTAATTATAAACAATACATAGGTCAACATACTCTAAGCAGGGAGGGGAGAGTAATAGCATTCGTTGTGTCTGTATGCCACACCCCATAGAGAATTGTGCTTTGTCTTTGTACCCAAGGTCTCACTGTATTCCTAAGATTGCCTAATTCAGTGTTCACTGTTCTGATTTCTACATATTTGGCCTCTTAAATTCTTGATTTAGGTTTGCTTCCACTTGTAAACTAATCAAGGATAACCATAAGAGAATGTGCATACAAGGAAATTGTTAATCTCCATAAACAGATTTCTGCTGATTGTAAACATTCAACCTCTTTTTAAAAGTGATAAATGAGGGATATTGTGGCTGTCTGGCTTAGGAGAGCACTACAGATAAAATGTTACCAAGACTGGTTCATGATAGAAAATGCTTTGTCTTCATGCTAGGGAAACTTTTTTTTTTTTTTTTTTTTAAAGAAATCTTGGGTATTGTAATTAAATCTAGCTTATCAATTTTAAAACTTGTATTCTCTTGAGAACTACATTAACAGAAAGCCTTTTTTATAAGCAGTAAAGTAAGAATGTTCCAGTGACTACCTGTTCTTATACCTAGTCTTGTTAAAACTTTCTTTTGCAGGGCATTTTAGTGTTTGGTTTACAGTAAGTGCAGAGTGGGCAGATAAAAAGTTTGAGATAGGGACACTGAAAAAGGAAGATCAAAGAATGAAAACTTTTTTTTTAGGGAGATGGCAAACTTAGACCCCTGTAACTTTGTGTATGGTGCTCCTCATGATGTCTTGTACTTTGCCTTTCTGATACCCACCAGAACTGCTGCTCTTACTTACTCTACCTTGCCCAGATCTCCTGTGAGAAATGCTTTATGATCAACTGCCATAGGACTGATGGATTAACCAGTGTTTGAATTTATTTGAAGTCTATCTATGCCCTGCACAGATCTTGTATGTATTTTAGATGCTAGGAGTTATAGCATGTGATTTGTGATTCTTGTTTGGACGTTTTATTACAGGTACCTTGTGAATTCCAGAACAGAGACTGTGCCTCAATGATTGGTCCCATGAACTTGCACTATCTTTCGTGGTGATAACCTGAAAATATAACCAGGAAAAAGAAAAAAACAAAATCCAACACCTTTGAATTTAAAACTAGAATCATGTGTCACAAAATTATGAAAACATTGCTTATATCCCCTTTTCTTATCCTTAGGTAATAGTCACGTTTAAGTAAAATTCAAATGGTCGGGAACAAACCCTCACCAGATCGATGGTAGTTTAGTGGAATAGACTGATTACTGTTTTTTAAAAAAATGCTTCATCAGCTATTTTCCAGTTTCTCTTTTTTACTTTTTTGAAAAATTACTTTTTAGGAACATTTGGTATAATGTGCATAAAATTATTTACAATTTATGGACAAAGATACAAGTAGCATCTTGATTAAACATCATTTACCTCAGATATTCAACCAGCAGTACGTTTTTTATGCAGTCTCAACCCGTATCTCCCTATTTGTTACCTCTCAAAATATTGGTAAACAATTATTTTAGCTTTACTCTGTATTTCTTGTCAGTGTTTTGGGCACAGGTTGTTGTACTACTGTCATATTGTACTTGCTATCTTTTTTTTCTGCAAGTATTTAACAGAAAGATAAAAACGAAAAAAATCCCCATAAAATCCCACCTTGAATAAGTGATTGTTAAATATTGTACAAATAAAATGTATGCTATCCCCATTCCATCCCCATGTTAAATAAAAAATGAATATGGTATTTGCACATGCAGTTTTTCTTTAGCTATGTACATTCTTAAAGAGGGTAATAGTTTTCCAATTTATAGTGAAGTTTCTGCCTTGAGACTTTCAAGGGTAGAGTCATAAAAGCAGGGAGGTTTGTGAATTAGGGCATTTTTCCTTCCATTGTTGTCTAATCAGACTATTTCTACCCAAGTGTCTGTTGGTCCTTACTGCCCATGGAAAGAGTCCAGAGGCTTATTGTTAAAGTGAGTGCATTTCATCGGATTCTGTGCTCACAGGACAAAGGTGAAGGCAACTTAGATTACTGCTTTGAAAGAACCCCCAGTCGTCTTAAGTCAAATCAAAAGGCAATGGTGGAATATGCACGACCACTACAGAAACTCCGTTTTCAACTGCACCTTCTTCAATGTCTAATTCTTTAGATCAGTAGGTAACGTGTCCTTCCCATATAAGACATTACCATATGGAAGTTTGAAAAACAGATTTTAATTTCTCAGAGACATGTGTCTGCATATAAATCAGAGATGCCTTTTAAACAAGATCCAAGTTTCAGTAGGGCACATGGAAGAAGCCTAAGTTGTTTTTCCATCTGTTGACCCAAAGGAGTCTTGAGTTCTTGATTTTCAGTATTTTTCTTCATTGCATAGAATTTTCAAGTCGTACTTTCTGTTCACATTCATTTTGTTTTAGACAACTCAGGCTAGTTTGGAACTAGCTCCTGAAAGTAGCTACTGATCTTGCTTCCACCTCTGAAGTTGTGGATTATGTTACAGTTGTACACTTCCATGCCATACATTATTCTTCAAGTTTTTAGAAACTCACTTTTTTAAAATTAGATTTAATAATGTAGCTTAAACAATGTATGAAGTGAATCTAGCTAAAAAGCTTCTTGCAATATATGCCTATACTTATATGACCTTCATAGTTATTACTGCTTCATTTTTTTTCACAATGATTAAAAATAAAAATTTACCTTGCCTGATTTTAAAGTTGAATACACTGTTCAACTAGATCTTCTCTAGGTGTTACCCAGACAGGAAAGCAGAGGACTCAGCTTTTAAGCAGTATCTAAATAAGTTTGAAATTCTCATGTTATTTTATTACTTTTCTTTCTTGAGAAAAGCTCTTGATATATAGCCCAGGCTGGCCACAAATGCTTGATTCTCTTTTAACAAGTCTCCTACATGGTAGGACTATAGACACTTTGTCCTGCTGCTACAATTTTTTTAATAGGAAAATTTTGCTTTTATTCAGTAGCAATACTAACATGTTAAATATTTTGGAAAAATTAATCACCTCAGAAAATGTGTGTGTGGACTATGTCATTAAACTGCTATGCAAGCCTTAGATTTAATGAGATATGGCTGGAAAAAAATGTCTTAAGACAGAATGCTAAACATTTTATTGTAGGAAAGGAAAGGCTATGGGTTTTTATGACGTGGTATTTGAATGCATAGAAATCTTGCATTTGAGATTTCTTAAGAGCCAAATTACTAAAATATCCTCTAAAATCAGTAAAGAATGTGTTGTTGAGTTTTAGTTTTTAATAACATGAGCTTTAGTGTTAGTCAAACCAAGCTTCATTCTAGGTCACACCAGACATTTTTCCATACTGTAATCCTGGACACTACCACTAGTGTAGTTTTCTAATCTGTAATACAATTAGTTCTGCAGTTAAATACTTTGTAAATTGCACACAGATGGGTTATATATTTTATAAAACCTTAGTATGACCAAATATGCAATCAAATATTCTTGAACAAATGAAGCCAGGGAATGATTAAGTTCCATCTTAAACCTCAAGCTCTTTTACTTTTAGGTCTATGAATTTATGATGTGGACCTTTGACTGACATTCTATGTTCTTAGGGAATTCCTTTTTGAAGCCAATAGCTAACACTGCAAACACTTCTCATTATTTGTAGAAGCAGTTTCCAGGAATCCTTTAAGGTACATGTTAGATGGCAAATTCTGATCCCTTCTGAACTAAAGTAGATCCAGAATGTATGCTTAAAAAATCCCTACAAGAGATTCTGATAAGGCATTCAGAGAAGAAAATGCTGAGTTGTTTGGACCCCTTCCAAACTCTCCTCACTCAGCACAAGTGGGCCAGTCTACTGAACTAGAACACTTGTAATCTGGATAGGACTCAAAATTCCAATGTACACAGCAAAACCAAACCCAACTCCAATCTCTACAGGCTCCTCCTGTAGCTGAAATAATCCTCATGTAATTTCTGGTCCTTGTTGTCTCCTGACTGCTTAGGATTACATCTGGTAAACTGAGTGCTTAGTTGAAATAACCTTTTCCAATGGACCACATACATTCTACAAGAGTATCAAATCATCATATGGACTATCCCTAAAATAGTCACATTTTATTTGTTTGAATTGCTACTCATGTAGTGCAATTTAAATCAAGGGAATTGTGTGTATATGCAGTCATGATTCAACACGTAGCCAAGATAATAAGTGCAAGTTTCTCATAAATAATATTTATAAACAAGGAATGTAATAACATATCTTGTTAAAGGGCAGTAGCTTTTAGTTCTTTACAGAAATGTACTTAAAATGTTCAAAGCCAGCTGAGTGAGGATGTTGCCCACTGTCTGACATCTGTAGGGCAGTTGGAGTACTTCTGTAGAGCATTCATAATTTGAGTATTATCCAAAAGTAGTTTCACTAGCTGGTATTCTCTCTGTGAATTCACTGAAGTTCTTTCCATGGGTTTTATTAATTCCAACTGTTGTAAATGCTCAAATGCCTGAAAGATAAAAGACAGAGCTTAGACTAAAGGAGAAAAATGTCAAATCCAGGGTAGTTACTGGTTTAAGCAAGCTGGGAAACAGTGACAGGTTTTAAAAAAAGGAAGAGAAATCAGCACATTTGAAATATCTTTTCCCCAAGTGCATCCTTCCATACTTGAATTTATATTAAAATCTTTATTTTATTTTTACATTTTTTTTTTCAAGACAGGGTTTCCCTGTGTAGCTCCAGCTGTCCTTAAACTCAGAGATCTTCCTGCCTCTGCTCGTGCTGGGATTAAAGGTGTGCGCCACCATACCTGGGTTATAAAATCTTCTTAATGAACTCCAACTTTGTTCATGACAGACAGGGGAGGAAGAAAGAAAGAAAAAAAAGAACGGAAGAGAACAGGAAAGATACAAATATAGTTAAAATAACTTTTAGGGATGGGAATTTACCTCAGCAGTATAAAGGGCTGGCCGCCTACCACCACTAAACAAAACGGTAGTTGCCCAAACCCCAAGTTTAATCAAATCCATAAAAACTACATTGTTAATTTTACCTGAATCTTAACAATGATAATGTTTTGTTTCTAGGCTGGTCCTTATCATAGGTTCTTCTTTTCTAGTAAGTGCTGGATACTGTACCTAAACCTGCACCTTCCACATTCTAATTCTGAGCTATGTAGCTCCCGTCTTTTGTCTACTACTTTGATATTAAAAACCTAAGAATCTGAGAAGACTAACTAAATAGGTTACTAAAAATTGCAGTTTGTTTCAGTCTCAACAAAGCCTTACTGTACATTCAAGTTAAACAGCTGTACAGCAATAGATCAGTGTCAACTTAGCCATGGTCAAAGAAGCTTTCTCCTGCAGTAGATGGGAACTAATAGAGACCCACATCTGGACAAAGTGCAGAGAGAAGACCTTGGGACACTGTCTGAAATAGGACTTTTTTTTATCAACCCCCTCACCTTAGGGCTCAAGGAAACTGAAAAGGAGGCAAAAGAAGATTTTAAGAGACAGGGAATGGATACCAAGGAAACAGTGTCTTCCAGAAACAACAGAACTCCAAAAGGCTGTGACAGCCAGCACACAACATGCACAGGTCCAAGCCAGATGGGGTCCAAGTGCTAAGATGGGGAAGTAGACATGATCTCTCATCCCCAACCAGGAAGCTATCCCCAATTAACAACCTCTCACAAAGGAAAAATGTGCTTTTCTAAGGGAGTCTCAGTATACCAACCTCACTTAAGGGCAGGGACCATGGCCAGTAGCAGATGGCCAACACAAAATGAACTCAAACGTATTTGGAGATTTTTTTTTTTAGTCCCAACAACTGGTCTTTTGCTTGTATATCATGGTTTCCAATTTTGTTTGTATGGGTTCTGTTTGTGTCTCTGCCTAGATGTGTGCTTTCCCCTGCTATTTCATTGTTTGTCAGTTTGTTCATTTTGTTTTATCCTTGCTTGTCTTGAGGGAGGAGACAAAGAAGGCGTGGAGCTGGGGAGAGAGAAAAAAGGCATGGAGTTGGGGAAAGAGGGGGGAAAAGAGGGGAGGGGGGAAGAGAGACAGAGAAAGGCATGGTGTTGGAAGGGTGATGAGGTGGGAAGAATCTGAGGTAGGGGAATCCATGACTGGAATACATTGTATGAAAATAAATACTTTCAATAAAGCATAAATAAAAATTAAAGAATAAAACAGTTTACCAACTGTAACACAGGGAGAGATAAAAAAGGCCCAGAACACTATAAAGCCTACCATAAGCAAAAGACCCTGTAAAGTGTGGTCCAGACCTGGGGGTGGTGGAATGTTCATTTTATCCCTAGTCAATCAAGTTCCTGTCCATGTTCCTCTTAGTCACTTTAACAGAGCTCTTAATTGTTTGCTTCCTCTTACTCTATAACTCATATATTACTTTTAGAACCCTGATAACTCTAGGTTTGTTATTAAGGAAAGAAAAAACTACACCGATGACATACTAAAACAGTGACACACTCAAGTAGATTCTTGAGCATTTGATTCTTACAGTTCACTGTGAAAAGTATCACTAGAATACATTGTTTATCATAAAAGTTCTAATTTAAGAAAAAAAGCTCAAATGCCATTCATTTTGAAAAATGAGAAAATATTAGATTCTTCAGGCATACATAGCTGAACAAAACTGAAAAAATATTTCCAAGTTGCGGAATAGACCCTATTTTAAAAGGTACAAAAAAGCAGCTATAAATTATTCCTAAACATGCCCAAATGCCCTTTTCACAACTACAGGAGACAACCAGTCAGGAGGTTAGGGGAAAAATCCATCCTACGACTGGTGCTGCTCGAAGAACTGGTAAGACTGTGCTCACTTGTAAAAATGGCTACAGGAAAAGAAATTTGGATTATGCTTTATAAGTAAGCCAAAGGATCAGGCTTCCACTGCTTAAAAAATAAAGATTTTTATTTCCATATGCACCCCTCTACACCACTGTGCCAACAATGGACAATCAAGCCCTTAAAATATGTGGGTCTGTATTTATATTTTATTTAGTTTTCATTAACTATAAACTTAAAAACTCTGAGACTGAATTATTTAGAAAAATGAGTATATTTGGTATGATTTTAATGTAAATCTACTTTTTTAGCTATGTATTTAATAAATTTAAAGGAACAAATGTCTAATGCATATTTATTAAATTGGGACCTATTTTGTAATTTTGTATAAATATGCCAAATTTAAAAAATATAAAAGAAAATACTTCATGAAATATTTAATCATAGATTTGAAAATATTTTTAATAGACTGAGTTATATTGTTACAAGTTATCTGATCTTTTATTTCCTATGTCTACTAGAAAACCTAAGACTATATAATGTGATTCCGATTTTCTTTGGAGTGGAGGAGTATACTGTAGGATATCATTGTCAAATTGTAAACTGATAACTTACCACAAATAAAACTTAACATTTGTGATTACAGTTGTAATATAAGGCAACATAGTTCCTTTTCAGTATGCAAGTGCTAAGAACAGACAGTAGAGGGCAATGTATCTTCAAAAACTCCAAAACAGGCTGCCTATAGAATTAAGAATTTCTCTAATGAAATACCCAAACATTCAAAAAGTTATGAAATATATAAAAAAATGAAGTTGGATCTGATGAAAACTATAAGCAAGTCAAACCATACCTTCATGACCACAGGTTTCTCAAAGTTATAAACAGAATGAGCCTTTCTTTGAATAAATTTCTGAAACTCTGCAAAGAAAGCAATGAGAATATTAGTACTCTCCAACAAGAAGCAGGGAAGAAATCTGGAAGAAATGGCGAACTTTTCATCTCACCATTATAGACCATTTGAAAATTAAAGGGCTCTTCTTCATAGATGTCATTTAAATGTTTCATTGCTATTATAAGACAGATTTCCAAGACTGATAGACCTGTAATAAAGGAGATAAACTCTTGAGCAGTATGACACTGAAATGATCGTGCTCCAGAAAATAATTACTATAATATATGGTCAAGGCTTTGAAGGGTAGAGGAGGTTGGGATTCCCTTTATTTAAAAGTATTCCAAACACTATTATCTATAAAAACACAAGTAAGTCTTTTAACTTCCCTGAACATAGTTGTTATTGGTTTTTTTTTTTTTGGGGGGGGGGTTGCGGTGTGGGAAGGATCTGCAAAATAAAAGATCTTTCTAAACTTAAAGGGATGTGTTATAAGTATGAAAAGTTTGATGCTATATGGCCCGCAACAAACAGCAGAAATTGTGATTATCATGCAATTTCAAATAACATGCTTTTGGGAGGCATTTATGCAGAGAAGTTTTGGAAATTATATCTAAAACTGTGTGCATATCCTCTACCTCCCCACCCCCATCCACTGGAGAGAAAAATGTTCCATTTTCAAAAGGGAGGGTGAACCTCAAATGACAAAATACCAACAAATACAGTAGCACTTAGGGTAAGCAAGGAGAACATTTTCAGTAGCCCTACCTGGAATTGCCATTGGCATGGGAGGTAGAATATAGCTTCTTTCACTTTAAGTAACTGTGATAATACACTGCACAGTACTAAAAAGCTGTAGGAATATGAAGTACTCTCTACACAATGCGCCATGCTCAATACTAATTATAATTTTGGAAAATATCTAAATCCAAACTTTTAAAATCCAAAAGTTAAAAGAAAGACTAACAAAGCCGTTTCTCACCATGTACAATACTTGCTTTAGAATCCAAGCTACACAAATGCTGTGCCTCCATCAGATCTGCTGAAGTCATAAATGGATGTGATACTGTTACTCGATTTAAAGCAAGCATCTAAAGAGAGATGTATTAAAAACTACTTATTTACTTGAATACTTTGGAGATATTCTAGAGCAATTAAAAAAATTATAGTTTATTCTTATAAGAAACTAGAGAAAGTTAACCTCAAACTTTGCTCCATGAAAATGATGCTGCCGTCTCTATGACTTTGCACTTGAATTGTATTTACTTACTGTCCAAAAGAAAAGCATTAAAAGAAATGTTCAACAAGAAGAAACTGAAAATAAGAATACTATTTAAAACTCAGTCACCTATACCTATGTGTTGTACAAATTTCTACAAATAATGTGTAAAGGTAAGTAATAGTTTAAAAGTAAGCAATTTTGAAAACAATTTTAACACTGGATACAACTATCTTCTTCACTTAGTTTTCCACAAGCAAATAACCAGCTCCTGGGACTAAGTTTTCACCTCAATTAACAATTTCACTGTATTAATTTATGTGTTGAATATAAGTATTTAGTGTTTGTAGATGTAGCAGATATAAACACATAGCATTAGGTTAAATGTGCACTTCAGATACTCCACAGTTAAGTTAAAAACAAGAGATTAGACTTCATTGTACAAGTTGAGACTCTGACCATTTGTGGCTCTTTTTCTATTTTTTTTCTGCTTATTACATTTCTTAAAAAAGAAACAGAATAATCTATCTATATAATATACCATACTATTATTTTATAAAATAACTTTTATAGAGTTGAAGGCACTGTGTTCCTGATTGTACTGTACCCTTTGCCTCAAAATAGCCAAGAATATATTAATGTACTCATATAAACTTTGCAATTCTCTACTCTGAAGGTATAACTAGATAACACAATTTAACTTTCAAGCTTTCTATAAAATATGCAATCCAGTTTCAGAACTTATCTTCTCATGAAAATTTATGAAGAGAATTTATCTGCACTGTGATTTCAATTCTAGTTCATTCATTTTCTATTGAGCTCCTTTGTATATACCCACAATTACTCATTTCCTGTTGATAAACATCTGCCATTTTCATTTTTCGTAATGATAAACAAGGTTGCAGTAAGAAAAGAAATTTCTTACATGTTGTCTTATACATCTTTATGTATGTGTGGATGGATGGTGTCTTAGGGTTTTTATTGCTGTGAAGAGACACCACGACCATGGCAACTCTTATAAAGGAAAACATTTAATTGTGTGGCTTGCTTACAGTTCAGAGGTTTAGTCCATTATCATCATGGTAGGAAGAAAGGCAGCATGCAGGCAGATAATGGTGTTAGAGAAAGAGCTGAGAGTTCTTATATCTTGACTCACAAGCAACAAGAAGTGGTCTGAGCCACAAGGTGTGGCTTGAGTATATATGAGACCTCAAAGCCCACCTCCATAGTGACACACTTCCTCCAACAAGGTCACACCTACTCCAACAAAGCCACACCCCCTAACAGTAGCAATACCAATCAGCTTATGGGAGCAATTACATTCAAACTACCGGATGAATTCATAGATCTTTAATGTAAGATTTCTAATCCATTTTATTATAGCCAATTGTTAGAGGGATTTAAACTAATGAGATAGGAAACTTATTTGGAGAAAGACAACATTCTTCAGTAAAGACAAGAAAAGGGAAGAAGAATCAGTAAATACAATGTGGTAGAAACACATGAAGCATGCCATAAGTATTCAGCTGGAAGCTCTGCTTTGGCCTCACTCCCCACCCCACCCCTATTCCCAACTCTGCCATTCTCCGAAAGCCCACCAAGTGGTGGCTCCTCCTCAGGGCCTACTCAAGACTGCACCTCCAGGGTATTTAAGCTCCAGTCCCCAGACCTGCCATGTGATTTCTCCTCCTCTCTCCCCTGCCTCACTTCTGTGGAGCTTGAGAGTCCACCCCAAAGCACATGGCTCATTAAATGTGGACTTTTATTTTGGTTTGATCTGGCTTACTTAAACTTACAGCCAAGCACCCTAGAGCTGAGCCAGCCATCTACTAGCTGTTTAAGAATTTTTAACTAGGGTGTTCCAATTTTTTCAAGGGGAAGAAGAAACACATAAGGATAAAGGGAAATGATTATTGTGAAAAGGTAAGGTATTATATAGAAAACTAACTGGTTACTGGGCAGATCAGATGTGCTACTTAATAAATGGTCACTATTACTCATTCCTGTTATTGAAAATAAACAGAAACAAAAAGACAAATACTTTGAGGGAAGGCATGTGTCATACTTTTCTAAAATATCAGACTAATTTCAAATTTATTAATGCATGAAGTTCATTAATTTTAAAAAAAATTTAGTATTTGATTGGCTTCGACATTATGTATACACATTGGCATGAGCCTCTCCCACCAGAAGAATAAAAGAAAAAAAAGAAACAAGAAAACACCTTAAAAGAAAAATCAATGTAATATCTAACATGTTATTCATGAAAGAAAAACATGATCATATCCAGTGATTTAGCATTTGACAAAAATCTAAGACATTTATAATAAACTCAAGTTAGGCATGAAAAAGAAGTTAACAATGAACATGTACAAGAAACCTTACAACTAAAATTTATGTCGTACTAAAATACTGAATGCCTTCCTCTTAAAATGGCAACAAAGAAAGATGCCCACTCTCACCACTCTGAGCCACCAAGTCATGGCAATAGATAAAAGAAAAAGAGAAGACCAGAAAGGGAACAAGAAAATGAACCTATTTGTGGATAATCTGAGTATGTCCACATAGAAAATCTCAAAAATAGAAGTCTGAGAGTTCAGCAAGACTGAATGTGCTAAAATTTACAAATAGCATTTACAAATAGCATTTACAACTGTTTCAAAGAAAGTGAGACACTAAAGTATTATACACTTAAAATATGTACTGGATCTGTAAAGTATCAATGAAACCAATCAAACAGTAACTAACACTGTGTATTATATCCAAATATCAGCAGAGTCAATGTAATAAATATGCGATTTCGCCCTAAATGCATCTGTAAGTTTAAAATTTGATATCAAGATGTAAGCAGTACTCTTGACTTACATACCATTGGTAGGAATGTAGGAATAGTATAGCTATTATTGAAAACAGTTTGAGGGCACTTCACAGTGTTAAAAATACAGATTATACGTGTATGGATGTATAAGACATAAGACATTCCATTAATAGGTATAGTTTTTGGTTTTCAGATCAGGCAAAAAGAAACAAATTTAAACAATACAAACCAATAGCATATGTAATGACCGTAAGTTTTTGTTGACATTGAAATGTTTCTGTAGAACTTCACACACAGTTGAGTCTTCTGAGAGACACTAAAACAAAACAAAACAATAAAATAAATCAAAATTGGGGATTAATTTCCTGTGTCTTGGCCTGCCAGTGGTCTGGACAAATTTCTCCCACTCGTGTCCCCCAAGTAAATACACAGAGGCTTATATTAATTATAACTGAATGGCCATGGCCCAAGCTTTTAGCTAGATAGTTCTGTATCTTAAATTAGCCCACAACTATAAATCTATGTATAACCATATGTTCCATGGCTTTACCTGCGTCCCATTACATGTTGCTCCTTGGGTGGCTCGCTGGCGCCCCCTCCCTTTCTTCCTGTCTCTCCCTTTGAATTTTCCGCCTGCCTCTAAGCTGCCTTGTCATAAGCCAAACGGCTTTATTAACCAATCAGAGAAACACATATTCATAGCGAACAGAAAAATACTCCCCTTCATAATCTGAAATTTCCAATCTAATAAGGGGAAACGATATAGTCAACTAGTGGGATGGTCAAACAGAATGTAGCCAAAGCAGAGAATAGTTATTATACTTGAAAAAAAGGGGAAGTATTAAAAGAATGTAATGGGAAATTATGAAGTGCTATAAGAACATGAGCAGAGGTAAAATCATGGCACAGTGACAAAAAAGGGAGTCATCATATTCTTTAAGTACAGTTATTTGCAAAGGGGTAGTATAGAGAGAAAAAAAGAAAGCCTAACTGGAGCCAATTCCAACTGTGGGGAAGATGGAGACATTTACAGAAGACTTGTGTGATGAAGCCTTCATTGATAACGGAAAAAAAAAGATTTAACAAGATGATAAAGATGAGCTATTGGAGTAGAGGGGTGCGCAGAGTGCCTGTGAAGAGTAAGATGTAGTCAAGAAGTGAGCATTCCATTATAAATATTAAAGCAGTAGATGGAAAAGGAACAATGAAAAAAGAGGCACTAAGGTCTGAATGTACAAGAGACCCCAGCAATCTAGAAAACAAGGTGCATTTGTTATTTCTCTTCTAGCTGAGAAGAAATAACTATGAAGCAGCTTAGAGGAAGGTTTCTTTTGAATGGTACAACCCCAATGGAGTAGAGGTCATGGTGGGAGGAGCTTGAGGCAACACATGCCTGTAGCGAAATAACTATGAAGCAGCTTAGAGGAAGGTTTCTTTTGAATGGTACAACCCCAATGGAGTAGAAGGCATGGTGGGAGGAGCTTGAGGCAACACATGCCTGTAGCTGAAAGACTTCCTGTGTCCCTCCCAGCCAGCAGTCCGGACAAATCTCTCCCACCCGCACCCTGCAACTGCTTGGTCCCAAGTAAACACACAGAGGCTTAATATTATTTACAAACTGTATGGCCTATGGCAGGCTTCTTGCTAGCTGGCTCTTATAACTTTACCCATTTCAATTAATCTATAAGTTGCCACATGGCCATGGCATTACCAGTCTGCTGGCATCTTGATGCTTCTTTGGTGGCAACTGGCATCTCCCCTTCATCTCCTTTCTTCTCTCTGTATCTGCTTGGATTTCCCGCCTGCTCTAAGCTGCTTTGCCATAGACTAATGCTACTTTATTTATCAACCAATCAGAGCAACACATATTCATAGCATACAGAAAGACATCCCACAGCACATGCCAGTGTATAAGCATTGTAGCCAGAAGTAGGTGATGAATGCTACTTCTTAGCTCATGTTCCCCTTTCTTTCTCCTTTCTATTCCATATGGGACTCTAACACATGGAATGGTGGCACCCACATTCACAATGGGTCTTCCCTTTGTAGTTAAAATTTTTCTGGGAACACCCTCATAGATACACGTAGAGTATGTTTCCATAGTGATCTAAACCTGAAGTGTATTTCCATGGTGACACAGAGATTAACTATCACACAAGGGAAGAGACTTCAAGAGGGAAGTAATAATCAACAATTCAATACAAACTACTTTGCAAAACTAAACTGAGGTACATTAAGAAGACACCAATGGATAAAGAAATATAGAGGCCAATAGGGCTCTTTGCTCCAAGCAAGACATAAAACAGTCAATTCTAGAGAATTGGGACTCAAAGGAAGGTAAAGAAACAGCACTGAACAAAACATTAGATGAAGAGTGAACTGAAAAGTGACAGAGCATGGAAAGATACAGCAACACTTGCATAATTTTTCACAAGTAATCTGACTGGTACCAAGTTTCCTTTTCCTTATACAAGTCAAAACAAAAACAGTAACAAAATACTGACCAGCATGGCAAGCTATGAACATGGGAGTCTTAGTGGCACAAATATCATGGACTAGATTTAAGACCCACTCTATAGAAGGCACATACCTAATACGGTATATACAGTCAAGAACCTATGGTTGGGGAACTCCCAGGAGTGAACCTATTTCTACTATTCCACTATATGGACACTGCGTCAAACTGCCCCCTAAATTCCTCTCTCGTAATTAATATAGCACTGAGACCTCATCAGAAAGTTTCTTTGTGTAGCAGATGGTGGTTAATGGAGAAACTCACAACTGGCCCAAGTGCCAATGGCAAGTGAGTGGTTGGAGTTCATATCATAACTCTTTCCCGAAGTTCAGAAACCATCTCAGAAGAAGGCATGGAATGATTCTTAAGAGCCAGAGGGCAAGGGAGGACCAGAGTAGAACTCCTATATTCATCAACTCATGGCAGCTGAGGTTATCAGGACAAGATCAAGCCAGTTAGCATTCTAACACAAGATGGAAAGGGGTTCATGAGCCCCACCTCTGGCTGAGAAGCAAGGACAGTTGACAGATTCTAGGAGAGGTAGAGTAATTTGTTCCTAGTAGGTTGGCCAGTCTCCAGCAGATGGCCCCACAATCAAGAGTACATGAACAGCACAAATATGACAGAGTGGGTTATAAAAACAAGAACATACTACCAAAAGACACTGTACGATACTGTCAAAAAATTACTTAAGATCTCTAAAAAAAAATCCTAACAAATATAAAGATGAACTAAAACTCCCCAAACAATAGCAAAAACCACAGAAAACTAAGTATTTTTACTTCTAGTAGAGATGTTTTGCTTCTTTCAACTCAAAAATGTCTAAATTTCAGGAATAAGCTATAGACTGTCTCTTGAAATTTCATCTCTCAGTAAACCTATTTTTCTAGTTAAATCTCCACTTTCTATTGCTTTTAAAAGGCTTGTCAAAACTATAGGTGTATCTTAAACAAACAACTTGCTGCAATGTCAGCACTGAAGTAGTGGCTAGCTCCCCAAACCACCTTTACCACATACCCACCCAAAAGGGGACTCTGGCCATGGTGCTGACAGACTTTCCGAGTCTGTACATTTTATTAAAACCAGGGAGGCAGCACAACATGACTGTCCTAAGGAATGAAACTAAGAGCTGCAAGCCCTAACAGTGGTAGCTCTCCTTCAAACACTAAAGCTGTAAGCCTGTCACAAGAAAAGAGATCATCACTTACGATGTGCCACTTAAGTTTGGTTGGGGGCTATAAAGTCTGAAAACAGAGCAAAACAAAACAAACGAGAAAGCAGGGAATATAGGGTCATGTAGTCACACCTGAAGGTAACAAGGAAAACTACAGTTGTACCTAATATCTTGGTATGCAGCTTGGATACAGTTAGGCATGAAGGAACCGAGAAAACGGAAGTGTCTTGGTAAGTGTTTCCTAGTGGACAAATGACTCTTTGTGGCTAAACATTCTTGAAGCTGAAGTTAGTTCTTCCCACCATATCAGAAACTAAGGTGCCAGGAGATTTTCACATACTAATTAAGGGTCTGCATCCTCAAAAGAGCCTGGTGTCTGGATGTTTCAAAAGGATCATAGGAAATAAACAACCTAAGAGGGAGATTTGGTTCACCATGATTTGCCAGGAGGAAGATACTACCTCATGATCATGCCATCCACAAATATTCATAAAACATGAAGGATTCAATGAGTTGCTACCTCAGTCTTTTGTTTGAGGCACCCAGTCTCTCTCTGAATAAATGTCTACCTAATTGTATGTGACTAAGCTGAATTCTTTACTTTGAGGCTATAAGACCAATCAGATACCTTTACCTCATAACAAAACTAGAGCTGAGCCATCCTATCATCAAATTGTATCCACTTTTTTTTTGTTTTTTTTCAAGACAGGGTTTCTCTGTGTAGTTTCACACCTTTCCTTGATCTCACCCTGTAGACCAGGCTGGCCTCGAACTCAGAGATACACCTGCCTCTGCCTCTCTAGTGATGGGATTAAAGGCGTGCACCACCACTGCCTGGCGTAAATTGTATCCACTTTTTAAATAATCTAGACTAGTGTTTCACCAGAAACTCATATCATTCTCTAATTATATTACTGTGTCTATAGGAGACTGAGTCAAGGAACTACCTTAGACAAAGAAAATATGGAGAAATACTATCCTGATATGAAAAGGTACAGTATTTTGTACCACCAATGCACATTTCTGTATATCTCTGAATTACTTATACTGCACCGCCTAAGACAATGTAAATGATATGTAAACAGATTTTTGTGTTAGTTTTTTCCAACTAGACACAAACTAGAGTCACCTAGAAAGATAGGCTTTCAACTGAGGAACTACCTCAATCAAATTGTTCTATCAGCATGTTGGTAGGGGCGTTTTCTTGATTAATGATTGAAGTGGGAGAGCCTAGCTGAGCCAGGTCTGGGCAGGTAGACCTGGGATGTATAAGAAAGCACAATGAACAAGCTAGTAAGCAACATTCATTCATGGTCTCTGTTTCACTTCCTGCCTTCCAGTTCGTGTCTTGGCTTCCTAATATGGATTCTAACCTTTAAGCCACATAAATCCTTTTCACATCAAGTTGATTTTGGTCAGAGTATTTTATTACAGCAACAGAACTAGGTAACTATCATACTGCATTATTAAGGGAATAACAAATACAAGCCTATTTATGCTCAATATAAATGCCACTGTTTTATTTTGTTTAATTTTCATTTGTGGTTGCATCCCAAGATGTAGAACCTATGAATTTAAAACTATTTACAGTTATAGACACTCACAATGAAACATAGTTAGATGACTAGGTGACTTGGCTGTAAAGTCACCTTAGGAAAACAGTTAATAGGCACAGAAATAATAAAAATCAATGAAAATGAAGACATTTAAATATGAACAACTGCTGGGGATGTCTTTCTGTATGCTGTGAATATGTTGCTCTGATTGATTGATAAATAAAACGCTGATTGGCCAGTAGCCAGGCAGGAAGTACAGTAGAGCGGGATAAGCAGAGAGGAGAATGCTGGGAGGAGGAAGGCTGAGTCAGGAGATGCTGCCAGCTGCTGCCACTATGAGAAACAAGATGTAAAGTACCAGTAAGCCACAAGCCACGTGGCAACTTATAGACTAACAGAAATGGGTTAATTTAAGATATAAGAACTGGATAGCAAGAAGCCTTCCACAGCCATACAGTTTATAAGTAATATAAGCCACTGAGAGTTTACTCGAGACTTTGGAACCGTGGGAGCTGGGTGGGACCAGGAAAACTTCAGCTACAAACAACTGCATTCAAATCTCTCAAAAACATCATGGAATAAGACTATTAGCTCAAGAGCTATATAAGAGGAATGTCTGTGAGGCACTGAGAAGTAAACCAAGTGGCCAGATGTTAAAATCCAGAACAGAGTGGGAAAAGGAATAATATAGATTACAAATGACAAAGAACATCCTCCCATACATACAGATTTAAATCAGACAACAGTATCAGAGAAAACTTGCCTAGTTAACAATTTCCTGAGTCCCATGCAAGATTTCTCTAGTGGAAGGGAAGATCCAGAACTAAGTATTTGTAAAATTAAGATTTATACACCTTAATGAAAAGTCTGTTGTTGTATTACATATAAGAGTTGTGATGGTCAATATTGACTGTCACCGTGTTAACGGAGATTATCTAGATTAGGTTAGCTTTGGAGCAGGACTGTAAAGGGTAATCTATATTAGTTTACTGAAGTGGTACACCTGTGATGGTACTCTCACATATTTGATTGCTTGTCATCAAGGAGTGGAACAGTTTGAAATATTAAAAGGATTAGGAGCCAAGGCCTTATGTAAGGAAGTGTATTACTTTGAGGTTTCAAAAGCCCATGCCAGGTCCAGTCTCTTTCTCTCTCTCTGCTTGTGGATCAGGATGTATCTCTCTCAGTTACTTTTCCAGCACCACATCTGCCTGCCATCACACTACCTGCAATAATGATAATGGGCTAAGCCTCTGAGACAGTAAGCCAGCCCCCAATTAAATGCTTTCTTTTATAAGAGTTGTCTTAGTCATGGAATCTCTTCACATCAATAGAACAGTGACAAAGACAACACTCATCTCAATTCACCACCCTACTGGCCTGGGGGCCTGGGTAGAGGTAAAGAGGTAGAGAAGGTAGAGAGAGGGAGGGAAGGAGAAAGAGGGAAAGGGGGAAGAGGGAGGGGGAGAGGGGGAGAGAGGGAGAGGGAGAGAGGGAGAGAGGGAGA